TAGTCTCATACCACCATGGTTGGAAAAGATGCTTGATAGGATTCCAATCTCCTTAAATTTATCCAGCATGTGATCTATCCTGGGGAATGCTCCATGTGCACTTGAATGTGTATTCTGCTGCTTTTGGGTGGAATGTTTTATATATATGTATCCAGGTCGTTTGGCTTAATGTGGCATTCAGGCCAGTGGTTCCTTATTGATTTTCTGTCTAATCTGTCCACTGATATAAGTGGGGCGTTAGTGTCCTAGTATTATTGTCTTACTGTCAGTTTTTTTCCCTTTGTGTTTGTTAATTGCTTTACGTATCTAGGTGCACCTAAGTTGGGTACATATATATTTACAACTGTTATATCTTCTTGCTGGACTGATCCTTCTATCATTATGTAGTTGTCTCTTGTTACAGTCTTTATTTTAAAGTCTATTTTGCCTGACAGAAGTATTGCTACTGTGCCTTCCCTTTTGTTTCTGTTTGCATGGAATACCTTTTCCATCCCCTCACTTTCAGTCTGTGTCTTTAGATCTGAAGTGAGTCTCTTGTAGGTAGCATAAAGATAGGTCTTGTTTTTGTATCCATTCATCCACTCTATATCTTTCGATTGGAGCACCCTAGTCTATTTACATTTAAAGTAATTATTGATAGGTATGTACTTACTGCCATTTTGTTTGCTATTTTATGGGCTGGTTTTGTAGTTTTTTACTTTCTTCTTTTGCTCTCTTTCCCCTGTGATGACTATCTTCAGTGTTATGTGTGGATTCCTTTCTATTTTTGTATGTGTATCTACTATAGATTTTTGGTTTCTGATTACCATGAGGTCTGTATATAACTATATATATATATATAGATAGATAGATCTATATGTAACTAACTATATTTATAGCTATCTATATAGTTTAATATTTCTGACATCATATTTTGAATCTTTGTTTTGTGTATCCCTTAACTACTTACTGTGGATATAGATGATTTTACTACCTTTGCCTTTAGCACTATTTTGTTTTTTGTTTCTGCTGCTATACTTAGTATGAAATCAGCCATGTGAGTAATTTTTATACATTTTACTGAGAAAAATAAACAGTATATTACTTAAACTTTACTCCTGAATTAATTTTGATTTTATTTCAGATCTTTGCTTCACAAGGAATTTTAATAAGGTGAAAAGTTAAAAACTACTGAAGAATCTAAAGATTTTTCAACCATGTCTGGAAACTATAGCAAAATCTGGTTACTCTGGTGCCAAAAACAGTTTATAGTAAGGAAAAATTAGATTAGTCCTAAAGGCCTTAGTGCTTCTAAAAAATTGGCAGACATCAGTTTTTGGCTGCACTTGAAGACGGCACATATGGGACCCAAGGAATTCCAGGAGTGAGCAATCTCAGAAATGTCTGAATTCAGTGTCTTCCCTACAGAGACTCATCTTTATCTTGAATAATTCATAAACTAGGTAATTCCATCCCTGACTGTCAATGAGGTGGCACCTTCTACCTCAAGGCCTGCTCAGTGTCAAGGTTCTACAGGTCACACATCAAATACCAGCAGTGAGGAGCCAGGGTAGGGGGGCCTGAAACAAAGGGACAGAAGTGCCAAAAGCATATGCAACACCACAAATGAAGGCTCTCTGAATATTCTGAATAGCTCCTCCCAGACCTACAATGTGCAGTTTATTCACTTTACATCTTTTTACATTTTCTAAGATTCTTTTATACTTTTCTCTACAAATTAGGATGAACTAAGAAAAAGAAATGACATCAAAAAGAATAAACCCATGAGAACAGCAAAGGATCTTTGAGAAAAAGCAGTAATTAGCAAAACAAACTATAAAGCCACAATAATTCAATCTGCAAGTCACCAGCAGAAGTATGGAAATTTTAGAAGGCAAGAAATATATTTAATGGAAAAAAAATACATTTAATGGCTAAAACATTATTCCCATTACTATTTCTTGAAAAGTTCACCCTTTTCCCAATGCTCTGAAGTGCAAACTCTGCATAAATCAAGTACACACACACAC